GCAACAGAAAAGATGAGAATGGCCTTGTACACTACAAGAATTTTGTCGGATCTAGCCACGAAAATATTTCGTGTCTGTTGCAGACAAGAAAATGATGAGTATGTACACGATACGAATGCCTTCGGGTAGGTGTCGTTTTACTACCGACTGTGTGAAGAAATATGTTGACTACTAATAAAAAATAAATGTGATTGCAAATTATATGTATAGAATAATAAATATTTCTCTCCACGCCTCAAAAGTACGTCGTTTATCTTTATAAATCTCTAAGGTTTTGTTTCACAATACGGGTCGTTCCTCTACTAAACTTATAAATAAATAATGCATTTTATTAGTTGCAATGAAATTAGTGGTGCAACAGTGGTACTTTGCAAAATCAGTCCACGCGCATAAACATTCGTTTACTGACAATGCGCCCTATGCAATAGCAGCAGAGCGCGTCGAGTCGGGGGTAGACAAGATTTTTTTCTTGTCCGGCGCCGAGGCTGTGTACACAGTTCGTGTGTAGAAACGACACGAATTCTTGCATAGACCCGGCGATTTTCTTAGCGTAATCACGCGCCCTTAGGATGTGATTTGGCTTTGTGATTGACTTTCTACTAATTCAAATTAAACAGAGATAATTTTTTGAAATAGTTTTTCGGCCTTGGTGTAAATTTCTATTTTTCGAGATACGACAAGATCTCTTTCCGGCGTCGACACGGCGTCGATATAATGCATTTCGACGTTGAAAACATAAACATGTTATTGTCTTTGTTTAACTACTGCGTGCTGTCGTAAGCCTAAAGAGATAGCATTACATTGGTCTGTGCGAAACACGGGAATCGAAAATACGTTACGTCATCTTAAATGTCAACTGTGTCCATTTCGCAGTACATGATACCGTTGTCAAAGGGAAGTAGTACATCAAATATCAAAACAAATGTTTTACCAAGTGTTTTATTGAATTATTCGCATGAATTGTAATAAAATGGACAAAAATATTGACAGTGAGAACAATTATGTATTAATAAAAATGAGTCGCTGCACCATTAAGTGATGTGAACAATATCAAAAGCGAAAACCAAACGAATGTTAAATTGCACAGGCATGTGTTATTTTTCTGGCTATAAATCACAGAATAGCCCAAATATCACATGTAATTAGACTTATTTAAGTTGTTTATCCATAAATCTTGCCAGATTTTGCTTTGGTGACTCTAGATAGCCTGTTTGTTTGAATATTTTGATGATTGTTGTTAACGATTATATTGTGATAGTGTTGTTCTTGTAAGCATACATATTATCGATAGTCTGTTATTAAAACAATCCATAACGAGATTTTTATTATTTTATTATTATTCAATTTATTATTTCAATTTAACCTACAAATGAAACAAGAAAGAAAGGATAGTTGTAAATCTATGACTACCGAATATAAATATAGGATAAAAGACCATCTTCATTTGCTCGCTTGCATTTTGAAGAGTCAAAATTTAACAGAAATTTGAATGTAACTAGATTATATGATAATACAATTCCATCATTAGGTTTGTCGATACATAATTTTATAATTAATTTAGATTAAACAAGACTCATTTACTAGGCATTCTTAGTTCCTGAAAATAAAATTATCCACCCGTTTCCGATTTTGTCCCACTGACATCTCTAACTACTAAAAATTACTTTTTTCTAAAGCCAACAACACAGTGACATGTTGGCCAACGTTGCCGAGAGAACGCTAATTATCAACGTATTTTGCCTTGCCTTGCCATCGTTCGGTGTCATATTCCTATCTGACCGAGTGAAGGCGAGCGCCAATGTGTATAGTGTATAGAGCTCGTGACCACTTGTCTCACTTCGGAGAGGTGTCTGTTTTTCTGTACAAATCGAAGGCGCTCGACCAATAGTAGTCAATTGACATTGTATACAATTAGACATTTGCATGCTATTTTTACATACCGAACATGTTTGTACTAACACTGTCTCTCGACACATCTTTTTAATTTATTTATACATATTCTGTTAAACCATGTTTTAAGCAAATAAACATATGATAACAGTATTATTGATTTAATTATTGTCGATAATATTACTACTATTATATACGTAACTTTTATTTATTTCCAAAATAAATTGAAGTGTTAAAGATTTACTTAAACCGCTCACTGATATTAATAATAATAAATGTTTTCTATGTAAATCAGATGTCTGGGACCCCGCGATACAGGCTTGCCTAGTGTGGGGACCGCGGTAAACATAAAATTGTACCTATCAATCTGTGAAATAAATGTTATTATTATTATTATAATTCTGTACCAATGCATAAATACAAAAAGCTCACACTATTTGAAAACCTTTGAAAAATTTCTTTCTAATATCAATCTTGAGGTTGGAAATGCATAGCGATGGTCAGATTAATATTATAAAATTTTCGCTTTTTTAATATACTCTCAAATTATATTTTTTCCAGCACAAATTCACTTTTTACACTATATACTATTTGAGCATTTATAAATGCAAAATAATAAATTCTCAAATGACGTTCCCGGATATTCCCATAAGAAATAAAATATTCCCAAATAGAATATTGATTTTAATTAAACGTTTCCAAGTCGATAATGACTTTTCGATAGATTATGGTCCAACACTAAAGCCAATTTTTGTATAAGCATGTAAAAGAACCTATTTCACCATTCGCGTTATCGGTCCGTTATTGTCTATGGGATCCGAAGCCCAAAACGAAAGCGTTGTGGCTAACGGACTGCGGACAGCTCACGGATCGTTTTGATTTCGTACGCAGCTGCGGTTGTATATTTTGAGAGTAGGCCTTCAGACCCGAGATAATATAGAAAAGTTAGTTTTCTATATTGACCCGGCCGGGGATTGAAGCCGGGACCTCAGAGATGGCGACATCGTGAAAACCGGTGTGCAAGCCACTTGACCAGAGTAGCCGTCAAACATGAAACTAAAATTCTTTTTTTTTTTCAACTTCCTCACATGTATTAATGAAAACAATTGTATGCCACACGGGCGGAATTGCAATTACAAACGTTCGGCCAGTAAATTGAATGTGCCTGTGATCTTAATTGCCTATTTACCGCCCTTGTTATACAAACTGCCTCCACAACACAAAAAACTGCCTCTGTGGCCGAACGGTTACCATGCCGGACTGCCACGCAGAGGTCCCAGGTTCGATTCCCGGGCCGGGCGAAATATTTGTATGACCTACATTTATTTCTCTCGTGAGTTTGGGTGTAATTTGTGGTTGTGTATGTGTGTGTCCATGGCACCCGCGACACAGGGTTTCCTTAGTGCGAGGCTATGTTGAGTGTGTGGGTTATTAAAAAAAAAAATACATTGTACACTACAGTACACTGTAGTCTAGCATTAGCGAAATGCCAACGCAGAAGGCTCGCTCCACAGAATTTATTTTAAAAAGACGAAATAAAAGGGTAACAAGTAAAATGATATAAAAAAGTACAATTAATATAAAACACTCCCCACACAGATTAGATACAATATTCAACCCAAAAGGGCCTATATATCTATGTCATATAATTCCATAGTAAATGATAAATGAGGAAGGTGATGATTTATAGGTACGTCCTCTTGTTTTGAAAATTTTGATGGTAATGACAATGGAACCACCACCAACGTAGGAATAGTGCAGGTAACGGGAATTCGAGAACGATTCAAAATTTTAAAAGGAAGTGACCAGGCACCAGTAAAGAGGGTGATAAAAAGGTGGAATGATGATGAAAGAGGTTAGTATCGTCACAACTCGTCCCTAATATGGTCCGGATATTTCTCATTCTCAATTAAATCCAGGCTATCCCAGAAGGAGCGCAGACCGAAGTCGGAGCTAGTTTTCATTGACGTATTGTTGGGAGATAAAACCTCCAAGTAGCTGATCTCTGATGACCCAGGCGCAATTGCCAACCATTCTCCATCGTCGCCTAGTTTTGGTCTTCTGAAATATTTACTACTCATTAATACGTTTATAATTAATAATACAAAAATTGAATACTAAGAAAAATTCCTACGATGCGGGTGTATTCGAATCAGTGTCTTCAGCATACCGTGCCTGACACTCCGCCATCTGAGCTTCGGAACGAATCACTTTTTGCCGTAGTGCCATCTGTGGGAAATCTATGAAAGTTTTTCATCACTTCTCACAGATGGCGTTACGGCAAAAGTCGTTAAAAACCATAAACTAAGAACCGCAACAAGCACATACAATAAAATTCGTAAGGTATGCTGGTTCGTTTCGTAGCTCAGTTGGAAGAACGTCAGGCTCTGTATGCAGAAGTCGCTGGTTTAAATTCAGATTCGGATCTAACTGAGGCCCCGAATTCGATTTCCGGGCCGGGAGAAATATTTGTATGGCTTACATTTATTTCATTTGTGCGTTTGGGTGTAATTTGTGGTTGTCTATGTATGTGTCCATGGCACCCGCGATACAGGGTTTCCCTAGTCCGGGGCAATGAGTGTGTGTGTTATTATTATTATTATAATTACAAAATATTTTGTTTCGTAATCCAATATCACTTTTGGTATTATTGCTAGGCTATCGCAGTTTCCAAATTACCCAGTGCACGCGAAGCTGTAGATTATAGCAAGAAGGGCTTCAGTCATCTGCTTATCCTGGATAGAGTTGGCGGTTATCCCTTGATATTTGAAGATATGGAGCACATCGTCACCGTGACCTACACCTGCAATTTAAATATAGTGATTATTATAAATAGAAGATATACATACACTCACATATACATACACTTACGTGTATCTCACATATCTATGCCTTACTTTCTCAAACTAATCATACATAGTTCAATCTATTTTCTTTTATTATATCTACTATTCGTTTGTAAAGTTAAAAGATAATGTAATGTAAGAAAAAATAACATTAGCGTCACAGTACAGTTATGAAAATGTAATTTATGTTAAGAGGAACAGTAATTTCTTTATGAATAATCTCAGTACAGAGTACTAAAAAAACCGACCTCAAAAGTACGTTGAACTACGTCTATTTGCTAAGTTTTATTGAAATATCCTTAAATTCGCCACTATACAGGACTTGACACTGGAGATAACAAAAATCGGTTCTCCCTTCTCAAAGTATATGGAGAGAAAAACGCCTTGGATTGGAGAAATAGCAAAATCAACCATTAAAATAATTGCTCCTTAGTAAAATTTAGGCGCTATTTATAAAAATGAATCTTCATTCGTGAACAGCCACTCTTAGAGGACTCCACAGAGGTGGATGATTTTCTTCAAAATGAAATGGGACCACTATGGAAGTACCCCCTTTCCTACAAAAAAAGAATCATGAAAATCGGTTCACAAATACCGGAGTTATCGCAAGAAAATCATCCACTTTTAAGGGTGGCTGTTCACGCATGAAGATTCATTTTTATAAATAGCGCCTAACTTTAATTTAAGAGCAATTATTTTAATGGTTGATTTTGCTATTTCTCCAACTCAAGGCGTTTTTCTCTCAATATACTTTGAGTAGTGAGAACCAATTATCATTATCTCCAGTGTCAAGTCCTGTATAGGGGCAAATTAGGGGATATTTCAATAAAACTTAGCAAATAGACGTAATTCCACGTACTTTTCAGGCCGGTTTTTTTAGTACTCTGTACTGAGATTATAGATTTACGATTAAAGAACAGGAAATATCTTTACAGATGTGGGGAAATTGCCGAAAATGTAGCGCCTTAACTAGGTTTATTATTGATACAAAGATCGAACAAACACAGAGAAAGGCTCAAATATTAGTGATTTTCTGAGTAGATAACATTTTTCTGGGGTGCACACTGGATGGATCTTACAAAGCAATATATAATATAGTTGGAAGATATTTTCATACTAGCTACTGTAGTCTAGGCTCTACTACTCTATGAGTAGAACTACTGGCTGAATGAATATAGTTTTGTATTTAGAATGTGTTCCAAAAAATAGAATAGAAAGAAAGAACATCTTGATAGATCTAATTGTAGCCTCAAGAAATAAACATGTAAAAAATATACAATAAATATCAAGTTATGAAGTTAAACCCAGTTTATATTTATAAAGTACCTCTCGCTACGCAACATAAGCTACGTCCCAGCTTACAGTACTTACGTCATAGAAAAACAAGAAAACCTACAATTAACTTGTTTTCTTTTTCGTACTTACCGTAATTGTCTTTGTTGAATGACAATCGGTCACTAAGGCTGAAGTTGCCACGATATGAGTACCGATAGACGTACACCGGCTGTCCGGATTTCATCGCATGAACTTGAGCCATTTTGCCTGCGTCCACTACGAACAGACGGTCACCAAGGGCCTGATAGATAAAAAACCTGTAGGTGTAATTGACAATACCGACTTAATTTTAATAGCTGTAGAGCTCCTTGTGAAAGACTTCCAGGGAAGTACTGCTGCCACCATGCTTATATTTGCCGTCAAGCAATAATGTGAGAATTTCTGCGTTCCGGATTCGAAGGGTAAGGGTTCTTGTGAAATTACAGGCACGTGGGACTTGTCAACCTATCTCTCAAGGTGACGGGCGCAGTGGCAATGCTTCTCAGATCTTTTTGATTTGAAACTGAGTGGCATTGCAACGGTTATGGACAGGTGTGTACCTCATCATCAGCGCACGACTTGTTCGTCCCGTCATTTAATATTATAAAAAAAAAGATAACTGATGAGACCCATTGATCTTTTTTACCTTCATGTTAAAATCTTAGTAAGTGCTTACGTATATTATGGTGGTATATCCGACTTAAGATTAAAGTTCTCTACCTGAACAAGTTGCGGGAAAGTTTCTTGTCCAACAGGTTTGTCTGCCAAGTACTTCTGTTTGATTTTTGTGGCTACCACAGACCGGCGCTCCAGCGGCAAGGTGTCCATGTATTCGAACATGTAGCTGGACAAGTGCTCCCAGCGATCCTCCAGCTCTTTCAGAAGCGTGGGATCCGTTTGATACGCTGTTGTAAAATGTCATTAACATGTGTGAGATGTATGCTGAGTCTCATGGGCTCATTTATAATGTTAAAAAAGGGAGGGCTCGGTTTTTGTGGTCAGGCATAGACATGACGTGCCCTTAGTACATGTTCCTTTAAAAAAATGCAGAAGTTTGGGTATCCAGCGCAAGATTGACCTCTCTGACATCGGAGATGATGTCGACATTGAAAGGGAACGATGTGCACTGTCAGTTAGGGCTAATATGGTGGCACATAGGTTCGCAAGGTGCTCAAGAGAAGTTAAAATTACTCTTTTTCGGATATGCCCAGAATGTGTTGCACAATAATAATAATAACGCAGACACTCAACATAGCCCCGCACTACGAAAACCCTGTGTCGCAGGTGCCATGGATACACACATAGTAAACCACAAATTACACCCAAGCTCACGAGAAAAATAAATGTAGGCCATACAAATATTTCTCCCGGTCTGGGAATCGAATCTGAGACCTCTGCGTGGCAGTCCGGCATGGTAACCATTCGGCTACGGAGGCAGTTAATAATTGTACGCGAAAGGCTTACAGTGCTCTTTGGGCCCAACATAATAACGCATTTAGGGTGTTGTGGGGGCCGCCGCGCTTTCATAGTGCGTCAGGAATGGTTACTGAATCACATTATGTGGATTGTTTTTACGCCACAATGCGTAGAAGGTGTACAGCCCTAGTGTACCCACATGGCAGCTCCAAAAATATAACCTCCTAAGGCCCCATGCACCTACATCAAAATGTACATAATTTGAAGTGAATCAGACCTAGACAATATTATCTCTGTAAGTTGTAAAGAAAATATCGCATTCAAATATAGCGCTAGATTCTATGATCATAGGGTATTTACAAAAATACGTTTTACATACAAAACTGTAGGGCTAGCACGAGGGACATAAAACGCGAGACCTCTATGCGAGAATAGCAATATATCGCGGTTTATATCGCTCTAGAGCAAGTCGCGCCTTGTCGTGCTAGCCCTAATAATACGCACTTGGGCCTGAATTATGTAATTATTTTATTTTATTTTTATTTTAACTTATTGGAAGACCAACGGCTATCTTACAGAATAAAAACTGATATAATAATGGAGAGCCAGTTATTGGTCCTCACCGATAGACACACATTAAGTTGAATAATGAGCATTAAATTAAAACTATTATTCTGCTATTACTTGCACGTAAGATATATGCGTTCCGCCGAAAATTCGAAGAGGCCATAGGTACGCACAAAAGTGAATTAAGCCTATGGGGCTATAAGAGAAATCTTGGACACGATTTCCGGGGATTCCCCGGCACCAGAAGCAATTTTTCGCAAAAATACTAGGTCTGCTATTTGACGTCGTACCTCTAGTGGCAAAAGATGATGTTATATTTGGTACATTTTAATGTACATTGGGTGTTTAGCTTTTTCCCCATTGTAGTTTGCTGGGTCTTAGGTGTTGTTGGGGCTGCCGCGCTTTCGTAGTGCGTCGGAAATGTTTACGAAGTATATGATTGAAGATGCACATCCCTAGTGTACCAAGATGGCAGCTCCAACAGACAGAAGTGTACAAAGAATGGACTGCGATTATATTGACTACTATAACGCCATTTCAAGTGGGATGTAAATAGATTATGTACCTACAGGGTTATTTTTAAAATACTTTTATTCCACGACTTTTAATAACATCAGATTTTACCTTCATACAAAAATAAAAAGATTTAAATAGATCGCTCTAAACGGTAATAGCCCTGTGCAGGACGGGGGTGGAGTGTCGCGGAGGACACTTGCACGTTTGCACGTCTACCAAATACAGATCTAAAAATTGTGAGACAGTACAACAAAAACCTAAAAGTTTATTTTTGGTAAATTTATTATTTTTGTAAAAAATCATTAACAAAATCTGTAGACTTAAATTTTTGTCAGCTTATAATAATTATTAAAAATATTTTATTTTTGTAAATATTAACACAAATGAGCCCTTTTTGTTAGATAAATAAATTATTATCATTAGTGTTATTGTTGTTTTCGTACAGTATCTACCTAGTATAAATAAACGTTGTAATTGACTGATGTTATTTCGATGGATAACCGGCCGGCGGATAGATTCTTAATAATGTGGATAGATCCCACATTAGTCTTCCAAGAGTAAGTGAACATTTTAAGACAGCAGTTTCGGAGCAATAACATATAACATTGTTGACATGGGTCGCTGTTGCCTATTTATTTACATTTCTGTAGTCCCGTGGAAACTCTAAATTCTTACAAGCAGCAGGGTATAATCCGTCTTCCGACGTGACAGAGACAATAAGAGGCGCATTATACATGGATCCAGCCTGTGCAGCGTGGTACGGGTACTTGGTCAGGAAAGGTTCTTTCACTTGCGGCGCTTCAATGGTGGGTGTGAACGGAGTGAACATGTGCGCTTTCCACTCCTGGAATTTGGAATAATGGTGTTCGACAAGGCGTTTAAAACTACTAAAAACTCACAAACTGTGATTCATTGTTCGAAAAAAAGGCGTATTAAATTCTATTATAAAAGACGAATGTATTTTCTGACATGATTTTGTGGTTTAAAATGTTTTGATACCTCTATTACAAAGCAAGAAGGTAGGTTATTGTTAATGCAAAGATCGAACACAAAGAAAAACTCCTTCCCTCTGACTGGACTCTAACCAGCGTCTGTTGTCATGCCAGGTCTACCACTCTTAACCAACTGAGCTATAGACGCAGTCCGCAGATCTTACGAATTTGTTACAAGATATCTGTATCGAAATAAACAGTACCACTTTCATAATATTAACTTTAGAACTAAGTCCAAACTCACGGTACCACGATTTCGTTTAAAAAGGTAAACGATTCGTTTATGGGAAACTGTATAAATGTTAAAACTTACATTAAAGGTATTTTAATTTGAAACTTATATTACAAAATTGAAGACTACGTGTTAGATAAAGATATACGGAAAGACGACACGGCTCCAGAATCCACACAAATTTGATTCAAAGTTCCATATTCCATATTCCAATTCCATAGCATTTAAGTTTATTTGACAAGAGCAATCCCTAGAGTTTCGTGCTCGTTTTTCTCAGCGAAGTGAACGTACTTCACAGTGAACGAGCAGTAGCTTAAAAATGACGTTTTCAAGTGTAAACATTTTTTACCTATGGAATAAATGGTTATCTGGCTTTGACTTCATAACAAACTAATGCAGTCGCTAGGGCTGATAGCTGTCAAGTTACCTAACTGAGTGACGAAATAGTTTCATAGATTTCTCATAGATGGCGCTACGACAAAAAAGTCGTTGGAAACCAAATGTAAAGACCCGACAATTAGCACATGGAACAATTTGTGAGGTCCGTTAGTTCGTTCCGAGGCTTAGTTGGCATAGCGTCTGACATGGTTTGCTAGAAGATGTCAGTTCGAATGCGGCCGGATCGAAGGAATTTTTTCCAAGTGTTCGATCTTTGTATTAATAATTATAACCAACTAGTGGAGTGATTTCACAAAAAAATAATTGAACATCCATTCAATACAAAATTTAATAAACGTGGAGTGTTTTCATACAAAATATATGAAATCATGATGGCAAAATATTATTATATCTAATAAATAAATAAGAAATACCTACCGTATCGTGTTTTTAAGAAAGAAATAGGAATATATTTTTGCAGTTTATTTACGTGACAGTGGTTTAAAAGAATCATACCTTTATTTACAGTCACGGATAAAATCTTGTTATTTCTGATGACCAGAGTAAAGTGAACCTTACTATCAAATCAGCCTGGGCAGCGACAAGCATGTCCGCGTTGCGATTCCTCATACAGTAGACCATATCTTTATTATTCTCTGTCGGGCACCCGACAGCAGCGGCTAATGCCTTAGCCTTTTCAGCAGGATTGTGCTGGTGAGCCCATTTCGTGAAAGCCGAACCACTGAATGCGATGCCGCGGCTGAACAAACCTGATGGAAAATTGGTACATACTTAAACATTCCCAAACATTTTACATGATGTTACGTTTTCTAATACAGGGAGTGAGCCTGGTGATCTACAACACAGGTCTCCTACCCGGCACAGACTAGCAGTCACTAATGATCATTAATGATATGTTATCTTATGCAAGATTCTAATTCTTTTCTGGAGAACTGGAAAGGCTAACAGATTGACTGCACATTTGCAGTTAATACGTGAAGTCGTAATTTACTTCATACAGCCGAGACCACGACTGCATGAAGTTAAAAATGAAGTCACGCATTTTTGTTATAATAATAACGATCTCGGCTGCATGAAGTCGGTTTCGACTGCATGTTCCACGTTCCGGTTTTGGAGGGTAAAGGAGCTGGTGAATACAGGTACATAGGACTTGTCAACTTTGTGTCTCAGGGTGACAGACGCAGTGTGTGTGACACTGCCACTGTTATGGACAGGCGTGTAGCTTGCCATCAGGCACAGGACTTATTCGTCCCGTCACTTGACAGTTACAAATTTTTAAAGTTATTTGACTAATCGACATCAATTTGTTAAAATTGAAAATTGGACTAGTGAAGAACTTCCTATAACTTACGGTATCTCCCAGGAAAGTATCCTCGGTACCACGCTATTTTTTGTTTACATT